GAGTAAGTCAGAGTTGGTTAGTGTAAGGGAAACTTCATCTGAGTAAGCCTGAGACAGAGTAAGTAACTGGGAATTTGGATCAAAGTGAGATTTTGGGGCAGAGATGGGAACAGGTGATTTAAATAAGGTTTATGCCAAGAAATAAAGTCTTAAAAACAAGAAGTGAGGAGGTGAGGAAATAAGACAGAAATTGATCAGCTCAACTATACTGAGACCAACGGCAGCATGATGTCACATGTGCAGGGAAAGCAGCTGATTGGAAATACTAACCATACGCACTCACCAATCTTTAAAGTAAAATTTGGGTATTTCATTTGTATTTAAGACTTTGTTTTCTCTTTTTTTCCCCTTTAGAAATAAATTGTTGGATTTTCAGAGTAAGCTTATACTTATTCTAAGGATAATTAATAGTTTTAAGAGTTGCAGGTTAGAATCATTCAAAAAAAAAAGGTCAGTCATCCGCAGGAAGTTCAAGGATTGTATAAGATTAAAGGAGAAGGCCTATAAATTTGCCAGAAATGCAGTAATTCTGAGTTTTGGAAGCTTTGTAGAATACAACAATGGAAGACAAAGGAACTGATAAAGAAGGGGAGAATGCAATCTAGCAAAAAAAAAATTGCAAAAATTTCTATAGGTACATGAAAGGAAACATTTGGCTAAAATGAATGTGGGTCCATGACAAGCAAAGTCAGAAAAAATCAAAATGGGAAATAGAGAGATACTGCAGAGAAGCTTATAAATGAGATTGTGCCTGTTTTTGCTGTGGAAGATACCACAAATCTCCCATAATTAGGCATCCAAGGTGCAAGGGAGAATGAAGAGTTGAGGAAATTAACATCAGTAGAAAGACTGTGCTGCAAAAATTAATGGAGCTGAAAGTTGATAATTCCTGATGGTCTACATCTCAGGACACTGAAGGTGTTGGCCACAGTGATCGTCGGATGCATTGGTGATTATCTTCCAAAATTCTATCGATTCTAGAATGATTCCTGTAGATCGGAAGATAGTAACTGTCACTACACTACATAAGTAGTGAGTGGGAAAGAAATCCAGGAAGTACAGGCCTGGTAGCCTTACATCAGTGGGAGGAATAATGATGGATTCGATTACGTAATGAGATAGACACCTGGCTCATAATGAACTTATTCAGCATAGACAGCATAGATTTGCAAGTGGAAAACTGTTTGACAAACTTGTTGGAGTTTTACAGGGCCCCACAGAAGGTTCCTTAGAAAAATTAAAGCTCCCGGGATAGGAAGTTACATACTGGTATGTATTAATGATTGGATAACAGACAGAAAACAAACAGCAGAAATAAATTGGTCTTTCTTATTATGACAGGCTGCAACAGGGGTACAATACAGATCAGTATCTGTGCCTTGTTGTTGACAACTTATTTCAATGATTTTGAGGTGGGGACAAAATGTAACATTTCCAAATTTGCAGAAAAGCTGGGTGGGAATGTGTGGTGTTAGAATGGTGTAAAACAGCTTCAGGAGGATTTAGAAAGGCTTAGTTAGTAGGTTAGAACAGATGGCAGACGGAATATAATGTAAAATGTAAGGTTATCCACTTTGACAGGATAAACAGATGTGCAGAATATTTTATAAGTGGTAAAAGGTTGGAGAGTGTAGATGTACAACGGGTGTCTTTGTTGATAAGTTGAAGGCTCACATGCAGGTGTAGCAAGCTATTAGAAAGGCGAAGGTGAAAACTATTAGGAAGGCCTTTAATGCAAGAAGATTTGAGTACAGTAGTAATGAGGTCTTGCTTCACTTGCAGACTGCATCTGGAGTACTGTGGTCTCCTTATCTCAAGAAAGACATCATTGTTGTTGAGAGAGTGCAAGAAGATTCACCAGAATAATTCCTGGGATGGTGGGGCTGTCCTATGAAGAGACATTGTGCAAACTGGGCCTGTATTCACTGGAAGTTTAAAGAAATGATTTTGTTTTTCATTTTGTCATTTATATAAATGATTTGGATGAGAATATAGGAGGCATGGTTATTAAGTTTGCGGATTACATCTAAATTGGTGGTATAGTGGACAATGAACAAGGTTATCGAAGATAACAAAGAGATCTTGATCAATTGGGCCAATGGGCCGAGGAGTGGCAGATAAAGTTTATTTTGGCTAAGTGTAAAGTATCGCATTTTGATAAAACAAATAAGGGCAGGACTTATACAATTAATTGTAGGGCCCTGGGTGGTGGTGTAAAACAGAGGGACCTACGGGGCTCAGGTATATAATTCTTTGAAATTTGCGTCACAGGTAGACAGATGGTTAAGAAGGCATTTAGCATGTTTGCCTTCATTGCTCAGACCTTTGAGTATAGGAATAGGGACATCAAGTTGAGGTTGTACAGAACATTGGTGAGACTTCTTCTGGAGTACTGTGTGCAGTTTTGGTCACCTTGCTTTAGGAAGATTATTATTAAATTGGAGGGCATTCAGAAAAGATTTACCGGGATATTGCCAGGAGTGGAGGGTTTGAGTTACAAAAATAGCATAGGACTTTTTTCCACTGGAGCATAGGTGGTCGAGGAGTGACCTTATAGAGGTTTATAAGGTCATGAGGGGCATAAATAAGGTGAATAGCAAGGGGACATATTTTTTAAGGTGAGAGGAGAAAGCTTTAAAAAGGACATGAAGGGCAATTTTTTTTTAAACACAGAGTGGTTCGTGAGTGGAATGAACTTCCAGAGGAAGTGGTGAATGCATGTACAGTTACAACATTTAAAAGACTTTTGGATAAGTACATGAATAGAAAAGGTTTGGAGGAATATAAGCCAAGCACAGGCAGGTAGGAAAAGTTTAGTGTTCCCATCAGAACTACTATTGAGGAGAAAACTTTAATCTCAGCTCCCTATCCTTCCAAGGTAGTTAATCCCACAAATCAGCCCCATGGATTTAAAACAATGTTTGTCAGAAAGAATGGAAACTTCATCAGCAACAAGCAGCGAACTACGAGAGACAGCTTAGTATCAAAATCTTGTCAATTCTGGAGCAAGTTCAAACAGATTGTTTCAAGGATCTCAACAGAAATAGTGCTGTCATATAACACTTAGCAAAACAGTAACAGTCATACCTCATTAATACATTAATACTCTTTACTTCAATGAGATGGATCTAATAAAATGATGCTATGTGCCTGAACAACCAAAACCAATTCCAACATAAGATCAAGAGTCAATCAACTGTCTTGAAATTACGGAAAAAGTGATTCACTCAGTTCAATACAGACTCGATCAGGGAACACAGTCAAACCTCTGGATTGGACTGAGAGAGAGATAGTAAGAACTGCTGATGCTGGAGTCAGAGATAACAGTGTGGAGCTGGAGGAGCACAGCAGGCCCAGGCGGCATTAGAGGAGCCGGAAGGGTCCCGTTCTGAAACGTCAACTTTCCTGCTCCTTGGATGCTGCCTGGCCTGCTGTGCTCCTCAAGCTCCACACTGTGTTGTGTCTGGATTGACTGAGTTTATTAAGTCAGAGACTTGGGCCGTGATGGAGTGGCAGTAAATATACTTTACGTATTTTGAAACAAATGCATTAAGCATTTACTAACCAAAAAAAAAGTTTAAGGGGAATTTTGTGTAAAGCAGTTAGTACCTGAAAAGGGTCAACAGACATCATGTGATTAGCTCCACCCATCAGGGTCTAAAGCAATGTCCTGCAAGGAGTTAGCCAGGTTTTAGTGTGTAGTCTTGTTGTGTGCATCCAGAGCGTTTCACTAGCAGTAATGTATACTTACTCTTAAATTGTGCCTGATGTCTCACAGGAGACCGTCGTGTACTTTAGATATCATGTAACCAGTTGTTAGGAAATATGCAATAATCTTTTACTGTTTACCAAGAAAAGAAGCTGGACTTTGAGGTGACACAGACTTAATCTGGGGTTCAGGAAGCAGAGAAAGTGAGTTGGAAGAAAGGTAATAGCACAGTTGTGAGGAAGATTTTGAATTTAGTCTCAATGTTCTGCACTACCTGAGGTTGATGGGATCGAGGCTAGAGGCATGTAACTACTGGCAGGGACCAAAAATGGTGACGCTTATTGTCATTATGTTGGAGGAAATTATTAGCTCATCTACATTTAAACAGTTTACCTTTCAAAATTTATAAGCCTTAGAAGATAGTAACTTTACACTGACTAAAGATTTAATTTTCTCTTTCACAGTATACGGGCTTTGCTGCTGAGCAACTGGTGGTGAGTCACTTTCTTGACTTGCTGCAGTGCATGTGGTGTAATATTCTGGGTGCAAGCTGTTAGGAAGGGAGCTCTAGGATTTTGACCCAGCGACAGTGAAGAAACAATGATATGGTTCCAAGTCAGAAATGAGGTGGGGTTTGACAGTTAATTTGCAGATTTTGGTGTTCACCTGCTCCTGCTGCCTTTGTCCTTCTGGGTGGTGGAGGTCACAGGTTTGGACGGTGCTGTGGAAGACTTGACAAGCAGCCACATAGCATCTTGTATATGGTACACACTGATACCACTGACTGCCAGGAGGGAAAAAGTGAATGATTTTTAAGGTAGCAGACGGGGTGCCAATCAAGCAGGCTGCTTTGTTCTAGATGTTGTGGAGTTTCTCAAGTGTCCTCATTGGAGAGTTACACCCATCCAGGTGAGTGGGGAGAATTTCATCATCTACGAAAAGGTATGGCAAAACTACACCTTCAGATGACCATTACTGGCACCTTACACAGCACATTCTGCTTAGGTGATAAATAGTCCACATTTCACATCTTATGTCTGGTCTGTTTTGAACAAAGACTCCAGCCTTTCAGAGTTGCTGTGACAGTTCAGTTCATTTCTGTTGATTTACAGCACTGAATCTAAACACATTCTTTCAGACACAAAAACACATTAAAGCCAATGACTTTATAATCATTAGATTTTATGTTTATTCTCCTCATTTCATTTCATTTGGGCTAACTCAGCAAATTTTAGGTTGATATGTACACCTACACTTCTTGAGAACAATGTCACAGGATCACTCCCATCCACCTGAGAGGGCAGACATGAACTCAGTTTTAAAGTCTCATCTGAAAGACAGGAGCTCTGAAAGGACACTCCCTCAGTAGTGTCCTGCACTGTCAGTCTTGATATCTGTGGGACTTGAGCAAGAATCATTTGAAATTTCTTTCAGTGTGAGGAAATTACACAAATAGTTACACAACTGTTATTGAGTCCTACATGCTTAAGGATTTTGGGAAATACAATTGAATAGAGTAAAACTTGCTTAATTTATTGTAGAATGAGCAGCATTTGGTACATACACATAAATGAGTCTAAAACCCCAGACTTACAATTTGAGCTGCATCACAGAAATTCCCTTCATGCCATTCCACTGTACACAGAGCAGTCTCTTGTACTGGCTGTTGCTGCACACCCTTCATACCACACCTTCGCTAACCATCTGAACGCATGTGGCATTCCACCTTGCCATCCAAAAGGTGGTGTGGAGCCCTCAGTGGGATGTGCTCTAACCAGGAGTCGCCTCCTTTACCACAGCAGTTTGATTGCATGCACCAGGTCACTGCAACCGTAAGTTTAGTGGTCTCATGGACTTTTCTGATGTTGCAGCCCTTCATATTGTGTGAATGGGTGCTCTTCAAACTTTATTTGTAATTCATTCTATGTTCCTGATCTCTGGCCACTTGGTGTGGCAGAGATCACAGAATTACAGAAGTGTTATGGTGCAGGATGAGTCCATTCGGCCCATCCTGCCTACACCAGCTTGTTAAAATGAGTTTCTTTTACCAAGTGCCAATCTCCTGCCTTTTCCCCATATCCTTACACAGTAATTTTAGCTAAATAATCATTCAATTCCCTCTTGATTGCTTCAGTTGAACCAACTTTTATCCCTCATACTTCTAGGCATTGTATTCCACATCCTAACTACTCGCTGAGTGAAAAAGCTTTTCCTTCACACTTGCTTTGTTTGCAGATCACTTTAAATCTATGCCCACTCACTCTTGTTCTTTTTACAAGTGGGAACAGTTTCTCCTTATCCATGCTATCCAGCCCGCTCATGATTTTAAAGATCTCTGTCAAAACGTCTCTTCATGAGTCTGCTCCCGCGCCCAGCCAAAGTGGCCATTAACAGGTCCGGGCAGTGGGCAATGGCCAAATAAGACCCGAAAGCGCTGCAGATTGTGTAAATCAGAAATTGCTGGGAAAGCTCAGCAGATTTGGCAGCATCTGCGGACAGAAATCAGAGTTAACCTTTCGGGTCAAGTGACCCTTTCTCAGGACTGTTGTGAGAAGCATGCCTGGGGAGATAATTTCTTATCAACTTGATCAGAGATAGGAACATTGCCACTGTGCCACAAGAACATACCATGTCTGGATATGTTTCTGTGACTGGTTATTGTCTCAGGAGCTGGAGTGCACAATTTCCCCACCCCCACCAAACAACAAATTTTAATTTAATTTCATAAGTTTCTAATTAAGTTTTGTTATAGAGTGCCTTTGGAGGGCTGGTCGCTGGTTAATTTGTTCATTAATTTATTATTGGTATACACAGAAATTTAGTTGGGTATAAATGTGCGAGTTTGTATCTTTAGGCCTCTGACATCCATGACAGTGTTAACCACCTTTTGGGAACATTAGGCGATTATATTAACGGAGGTTACACCATTCAGGCAAGTAATGAAACATATGCTGTCTGATAAGGGTCAGCCGTTTTGACGTCAATGAATAGATGTCATAGTCTTCTGAACATAGAGAAAAATATTTTAATCAGGCCACAACCAGGAAGTGAGAGCAGACTCCGAGACAGAATTGCAATGCAAGAAACCTGCACAGCATATCTAACAATAAAACAAGACCAGTCAGATGACCGATAATACTCAATCTTGGCATTTGATTCTAGGCTAAGAACAGACCCAGAATGTGACAATGAAACAACGTAACAAAGGTGAGCTGCCTAGCTGGACAATCGGTCAGTGTTTGCAGCATCTGCCTGCGGAAAGGGCAATAGCTGCCAGTGAAGTCTAAGCCCCCTCACTAACCTGCCCGCTCCGCGGTGCCGGGATGAAGGCCAGAAACTGTCCAGAGACTGGGCCGGGACAGGAACACTGAAAGACGAGGAAGAGGGGCTGCGCTGCACCGCTTCACCTCCAGCCGCAGCTCCGCGGGCTCCGGCGCCGCCAACAGCTCATCCAGAACAGTGAACAGCAGGGAAGGAGACGTACAACATTACCAGGCAGCAACCGAGGCTGAGAAATCAGCTCACTCACCAGTGAGTGGGCGTCAAACCCTCAACATGAAAACCGAATAATGAGGCGTGAGGACGTAAAATATAAAGGTCCACACAACACTGTTGCTGATTGTCTTATGCGGAAATTTTAGGGATGAGATTTATTATTAGAGAGAGTGACGCTGTTTGCAAACCCATTGAAGCTGGGTTTGCTTTTGCCTTGAAATGCATCCGCCTTCTAAATCGAAACCAAAATGCCACACATTACTCATAAATGATATTAATTCGTAACAAGTGTGTTGTTGCATAGGGTTGCTAACCTGGAATCTCCTGAAATTGAAAATCAATTACCCGGACCCTGCAATGTTCAACCGTGGGGAAACATCACAGGGACATTTAAAAAAAAGGGTTTTGTTCTGTGGTTATTGAAAATGGAAAACCAAGGCTGTTTGACTGACACTCCAGTATCGTCCACTTGGGTAGAGTCTATTTGCTTTCCATTTGACCGAAAGGAGGTAGTGTGCCGCACAGATGGATGTGTTGGCCAACTAACAGCTGTAGGGTGTAATTGAAAGAGAGAAAGAGAGAAAAGTTTTGCAAAGTAGCAAAACTTGGAAATGAATGTGCATGGCTCCATTTTGAAGTATATAAGACAAGGTAGGCCAGTATAAGTCATTCACAACTGTTATTAGTTGTTCCTTCAGAAAAGTCATGTACCTCCAGTAATGCATTCTATCACAGTTGGTATCCTTGGTGTTGCAGCCTGTGGAATATACAAGGTAGAAAATCTTCATCTTGACTTCACTGAGCAAAGACAGATCTGACCCATATTGCATGGGTTGGGTAAGGAGGCAACATGTGGAGATTCTGGTTCAGAAGCAGGGACATTACCCACTGCACCACAAGTTTTAATATGCTCCTGTGACGTGCCTTGTTGTTTAAGTAGAAGGTGCTATGAATAGAAATTGTTGTGAAAAACAAAGAATCTCACTATCAACCCATGACATTTGATGGCCTTTACAGACCTGAAATATCCACTACCAACATTATAGGGTTATCATTGACCAGAAACTGAACTGAATGAGCTATGTCAGTACTGTAGCTGCAAGAGTAGGTCAAAGACTAGGAATACTGCAGTGAGTAAATCACTTCTTGTCACTTCTTGACTTCCTCAGTCTACAAGGTACAACTTGGGAGATTTCTGAAGAAGGGTCTAGGCCCAAAACATCAGCCTTCCTGCTCCTCTGATGCTGCTTGGCCTGCTGTGTTCATCCAGCTCTACACCTTGTTATCTCAGATTCTCCAGCATCTGCAGTTCCTACTATCTCTGAAACAACTTGGGAGTGTGATGGAATACCTCCCACTAGCTTCGATGACAACAGCTCTAACAAGATTTAAGAAGCTTGACACTGACCAGGATAAAGCAGCCCACTAGACTGGCACCACATTGACAATCATACACTCCCTGCACCACTGATGTACAGTAGCAGCAGTGTGTACCATTTACAAGATGGGTCTCTGGACAGCACTTTCCAAACCCACCAGAAGTACCATCCAGAAGGATAAGCGCACCAGATAAATGGAAACGCCATCACCTGCACATTCCCCTCTAAGTTACTCATGATCGTGACTTAGACGTCTATTGCCATTCCTTCAATATCACTAGGTCAAAAGAGCCTTCCAAACAGCACTATGGGTGTACTTACAATATGTGGACTGCAGTGGTTTGAGAAGGCAGACCACTTCCATCTTCTCAAGGGCAATTAGATTTAGGCAATTATTTCTGGTTGGGCCAACAATGACCGTATTACTTGAATGATAGAAAAAAAATGTTTATTGGGCTACATGCAATTATATCAAAAGAGACTTAACCATAAGATCATAAGGAGCAGAAGTAAGTCAATTAGTCCAATGTGTCTGCTCCACCATTCAATGAGATAATGACTGATCTGATAATCCTCAACTCCACTTTCCTGCCTTTTTCCATAACTCTTGTTTCCCTTACTGATTAAAAATCTGTCTATCTGAGCCTTGAATTTAATAACCTGGCTGCAGTAAAGAGTTTTAAATTCACTACCCTTTGAGAAAAGAAATTTCTTATTCCTGTCCTAAATATGAGACCTCTTATTCTGAGTTTATGCCCACTCTCCTAGACTCTCCCACAACCTCTTCGTACCTACTCTGTGGAGTCCCCCAGGAATCTTATATGTTTCAACAAGGTCACCTCTCATTCTTCTAAATTTCGATGAGTGCAGGCATGACCTACTCAACCTGTCCTCATAAAATAGTCCTGCCACATCTGCTATCAGCCTAGTGAACCTTCCCTGAACTGTCTCCAATGGCAATATTAGCTTTCCTTAGTTAAGAGACCCCAAATTGTTCTAAAAAAACATAAACTCTAGGATAGACAAATCGGAATATTCGTCCTCTTTTTGTGCTGTAAATTCTCTATATATTTATACCTGTATAATTAAGTGACTCCAAAGTGACAACCTTTATAAACTCATAGCTGCCAAACCTCAGAGTATTGTAGTGAGGGAAATTCACCAGCCCAGGTCCTGCATGTTGATAGATAGAAATGAAATCACAAAACCACTGGTAATCTGGAGCTGCAACCAACAGTTTAAGAAACTGGGAGAGGAGAGTACTTTGTTACCAAAGGAACAGACTTCCCCACTACATGTTGTTTTGACTTAACTCCCCATCCAAGGCACAAGCCCATCCTACGCCATCCTGGAGAAAATGCTAGAGAAGGAAGGCTGTTAGCAGATAATTTTACTCACCCAGGATCTTTATGGAGCATTTCCCTGACCTGATCTAAGCCAGGCACAGCGATTTAATTGTGTCGTCAAGCAGGTAGTCACAGAACTCTACCACTGATTAGAACCAGACCTGCAGCCTCAGAGTAAGGCAAATGGCTCCTGTCGAGGCGATTGTGGCCATAATTTTTCCATTAATTGATGCTTAACAGGCTTCCAGGCTGAACAAGTAGCAGTAAAATATCTTGCAGCTCACCATTCCTTGCTGAATCTGGAAGACCACTGAGGCTCTCTGTTACTGGAAAGTGAGCTTTATTGTAAAAGCACTAAGTACAGACTTCTAATTTTAGATCCTCAGTATCAGTTAGTAACATCCACTGAGCTCAACACTGAAGTCTGAACCATCTTCTTAATTTTAT